TGCGAGAGGGATGTTCAACTGCCAGTTTAGGCCTGATTCCAATAAACTGGCAGTCAGACATCCCCAAAGGGGTCCCAGATTGGAGAGGGTGCAGGCTGGGCTGAGGGACACAAATTTTGTGCACCAGGCCACTAGTCTGTAATAATAAAAAGTGTAATATACTAATTAGACCGGACATCCTTCCAGATGAAGCCGGGGCTGCGAGGGAAGCCCAAGTCCTGGGTGCCAGAGGGAAGCCTGTGCTGGCAACTGGGGGAAGGAAGGCCTACTCTTGCATGAATTTCATGCATCGGGCCTCTAGTAATATTTTTTGAGGTTTAAATTTAACCAGTGTTCTTATGACACGTTCCCATCAGTTTTTTACCACTGCATTGCTTTCTGGCATAAGGAGATATATTTTTCCTGGTTCAGCTATTTCTTTAGGGAGCCATGGTTCCTTTTAGTGAGAAATGATATCTAGAAACCCAAGAGCTGGGTATTAGGTGGGCTCATTACTACTGAGATGTCACTACATCGAAGCCCTTTCAGTATACAGAGCAAGAAAACTTGTGGTGTGTGTGTGTGTGTGTGTGTGTGTGTGTGTGTGTGTGTGTGTGTGTGTAATGAGTTCATAATAATGCTTCTAGCTCAACCCAACAGCCCCAGATGTTTTTCTCTGTGTTGTTCCACCATCTTCTTGAGCATTTGAATGGTGGGAACAGGTTGGAGCAATGGCCAGAAGTCTAACAATGGAAGAAGGAAGAGAAGAAAAGCTCATGCTCAATGAGTCAAGGCTCAAACCTAGACATGGCATCATTTTTTCTGCTCGTATGCCATTGAATTTTTATTGGTGATAGCATAGTCACATGTTCTACACCTCGCTGCACAGGAGCACAGAAAATGGAATCTTGCTGGGCAGCAGAAAAGGGGCAAAATGGATTTTGAAAGACCTAGCAATCTGCCACTTAAATGTGAGGATTAATTTGCTAATGGACTTTTGGAAACAATTTCCACTCTTCTAGAGAAGCACATTACTAGGCCACACATCTGTTTTTAATGTTTGATTGATTGGTTGATTGATTAGATAGAAACATTGCTTTGTTGTTCCACTTACTTATATTTTCATTGGTTGATTCTTTTGTATGTGACCTGACTGGGGAACCTGCAACCTTGGTGTATCATGATAACACTCTAACCACCTGAGCTACCCAGCCAGGGCCTGTTTTTAATAATTGGATAATTTTGGTGTGTGAAATCTGTTTCTTTGTAATCCTATATATTTTCTCTTAAGCTTTTAAAAACTTTTCTGAGAAGCTCCACCAGAGTGATTGCCACAGTGGTCTATGGCACAAAAACAGGTGCCTGCGCAGAGGCAGGAAGATCATTTAAGAGGCTGTTAATTCCCCAAGCGATAAAGAGAATGAGACTTGGGCAGTGCCCACAGGGACAGATTCCAGAGATCCTTTAACCTTCACTCACAGAACCCTTTTTTATCAGCAACACAACTAGAGGACAGCTTTGCTTCTAACATTTATGCTCACTTCATTTTGGCAGGAGGAACTGCTTCCTTAAAAGTGTAATTTAGGAATATTTTCTTTTCAAATTTGATATAAAGTAGGGGGAAATGTCTAAGCCATATAGGATGCCATCTTATTGTTTATCTTGCATAATAGGTATTAGCTGGACATTTCCCCCACAATTAAGAGCTTCCCTGCAAGAAAACACAATAAGCTTTTACAACCTTATACATCCTGTGATGTAAAGCCTCTTTAAAAAGAGGAAGAGTCAGAGCCTCAGTGGTTTGCCCCCAGGGATTGGAAGAAGCAGAGGAGGAGCTGGAGGCAGGTTGAGGACGCCTCAGTAGCAGGCCTCTGCACTAGGCTGTGAGTAATGGCCCGCCAACGCCTGGATCCACAGGCTGCCGCAGTGAGCGTTCATTGCTCCGCACGTGACACCCTGGGCCTGCAGGATAGCACTCACAGCAGCCGGATTTGTCACTTGAGTTCCATTGACTGGCAGCTCTGATGGGCTGCTGCTTTCTCCAGTCTCTGACTCTCCATATGATTATGGTTTTGATCTCTCTTGACCTTCCACCCCCTTCCCACTCGCCTTGTTTCCTTACACTAGAATGTGAGCTCTTCGGGTCAGGGCATCATGGTGCTTCTCAAAATATGGTGCCGTCCTTTGTTAAATGAAGGAGTGATTCAGTAATTGAGGTGGATTCATTTGCTGAAGGAAGATGAAGCTTTCCAATCCTAATTGTTCATTCTATTAAGTGTTTACTTTGGTCATAGTTTCTGGAAAAAAATGTTAGGTTCTTCATATCATCACTGTTTAGCGCAGGGTGGTTTCAGGATTGATCAGAGAGCTGTGGGGGAAAAGGCATTTAATCCAATCCTCTTACATTATTTAAGTCACCGATTATTATAATCAATAATATTGTAATCAGAAACAATATCCCCTTTTTTTTGTTTTGCCTTTTCAAAATTTATGAACCTAAACCACTTTATAGAATAAGAATCCAATCTCTCCTAACTGGGAAAGCTGAAGGCAGAGATACTATTCAGAGACACTGGGCCTCTCTTTCGGATGAGGATGTGCCCTTCCTGCTGATCAGTTTGGTCCACTCTTTGAAATGCGGGTGTTCTAACTTAGAACACTCTTTGATATTCCCTAAACATAAGCTCGCAGTCTTAATGTAAATTCCGTAGGAAGGTGCTGAAGAGGTGAGTCAGAATATAAAGGAGAGCCTGGCTTTGGTATCAGCTCTGGAGCACTTGCTGACCAAGTGAAGAATGTCAGCAGCAGTTGCACACCCCGCGGAGAATGGAGACAGAGAGAAAGCCAGGAGAGAGGCTGCCTCTGCTCCCGCTTGGGAGCCACCTGCCTTCTGTTAAGTTTTGCTTCCGAGCCTAAATAAACCAGGAAGTATGTGGCCGTGTGAGCTGTCTTCCTGCTTTATTTTTTATTTTACTTATTTACTTGTTAATTTCCTGTTTATTTTAAAATAATTTTAGACTTGCCGAGACCGGTTTGGCTCAATGGATATAGCGTCAGCTTGGGGACTGAAGGGTCCCGAGTTCGATTCCGGTCAAGGGCATGTACCTTGGTTGCGGGCACATCCCCAGCAGGGGGTGTGCAGGAGGCAGCTGATCAATGACTCTCTCATTGATGTTTCTAACTCTGTATCTCTCTCCCTTCCTCTCTGTACAAAATCAATAAAATATATTTAAAAAATAAAATAAAATAAATAAAATAATTTTAGACTTACAGAAAAGTTACAAGGATAGTACAAAGAATTCTCATTTTTACCCAGATCCAAATGTTAATACTTTCTCATATTTTCTGTATCATCCTTTCCATTGATATATTATTTTTTGAATTGTTACAGATATACTCCTTTACTTCTAAATGCCTGTATGTATTTCCCCCAGAGAACAAGGACATTCTCTTACATAATCATAATACAATGATCAAAATCAGGAAGATAACATTTATACAATACTTAATATACCGATCTTATTAATATTTTGGCAATTAACCTAATATAGATGTCACTTGTCATATTAATGGAATATTTACTTGTCATATTAATGGAATAATATAGGAATTTTTTTCATTACTTAGAGAATATTTGTTTCTGTGGGATCATATAGTTTTTCTTTACTTTTTAAAAATATATATTTTAATGATTTTTTACAGAGGAAAGGAGAGGGATAGCGAGTTAGAAACATTGATGAGAGAGAAACATCCATCAGCTGCCTCCTACATACCCCCTATTGAGGATGTGCCCGCAGCCAAGGTACATGCCCTTGACTGGAAATGAACCTGGGACCCTTGAGTCTGCAGGCTGATGCTCTATCAACTGAGCCAAACTGGTTTTGGCTCTTTACTTTTTAAAATCCTCACTCAAGGATATGTTATTGATTTGAGAGAGAGAGAGAGAGAGAGAGGAAGAAACATTGATGTGAGCGAGAAACATCGATTGGTTGCCTCCTGCACATACCCCAGCTCCCCTATTAGTAACATGCAGACTCCAGGAAAAGCTCCAAGATTGAATTTTTTTTTTTTTTTTCAAGACTGAAAATTTATCTCCATAATGGAGAGCAGACAGGGACTGAAGAAAGAGCTGGTCACTCCAGTCTGGTAATTAATAGGGTTTATTAAGGGAAACTTACATACAATGTATGTCATGGGCAGCTGCAAGACAAAATGGACCCATGAGCTGCTTGGCAGGGCCAGAGAATTATATAGGATTTGGGAAGAGTGGAGGGTGGAGGGTGTGTAGTCACAGGTGTGTGAATGCCACCAGGTATGGGAAATTACATGCTTGACCAGTTCAGGGCAACAACCTGTTCCAGGAATTAGCACATAGCAGGAGGCAAGAAAGGGGGTGCTGATTTATGTCAGAATGGATATCAATTACAATCATACAGTCTTCAAGGGGGGTTGCAGAAAGCAACTCCCATTTTGGCCTTGGCTCAGGTTTTGGGACAGACAGCGGTCATGTCAGAGTCTCCTTCAGAAACCTCAGATCTGACTTCAGGGCTCTTTCGCTATGTTGTACACACCAGGAGTTTACTTCCTTGTAGCACTTGTAAAAACTGTTTTAATTTCCTCTTAGTCTACTATATTTTGCACTAGACTTAGCGCTCCTTAAGGACCCAGAACAAAACATTCCTAGGGCCTAGGACAAAAAATTTCTTCAGTGAATGAATAGGTGAATGAATGAATTCTGCCAGAATGCTGATTACAAAGATTAAAAGAGCAGGTAGCTGGTTTGGTTCAGTGGATAGAATGTTGGCCTATGGACTGAAGGGTTCTGGGTTTGATTTCAGCCAAGAGCACATGCCCAGGTTCTGGGCGTGGTCCCCAGTAGGGGGTTATGCAAGAGGCAGCCAATCAGTGATTTTCTCTCATCATTGATGTTTCAAACTCTCCTCCCTTCCTCTCTGAAATCAATAAAATCATATTTTTTAAAAAGAGCAGGTAAATGGTACACTTTTTCTTTTCTCACCCAGCATTCTCCTGGTGTGCAGCCTGCAGATGTGGAGGAAGTTGTCAAGAAGGGCGTGCAGACACTTGTGATTGGCCGAGGGATGAGTGAGGCCTTGAAGGTAGGTCTTGTGAACAGTGTTCTGAGGACAGCTGCTGATCTCTTGGACCTTTACTTTAGAGATATGTCCTTGTTATGAGTTCATCTCTATGTCTCATGCACCCTCCCTCATATTGCTGATGAGCTAGTGGATGTCCCAGGATAAAATAATGGCTGCGAACTACTCTCCTTATCGGGGTGGGCTCTCCGTTTCTGCCTAACCATGGACCTGTATTGCTTCAAGTATATCTCAGAAAGTATATCTTGGATTTCTCAAGCTCTGCAACTATTAACATTTGGTTCTTTAGATTTTTATAGAACTTTATATTTTATAATAGATTTTTCTAATGTTTTCCATCTTCTTAGATGCATTCAAATTATGTTTTCTCCCTTTGTGAAAAACTTATTTAATTTTACTTACAGAAAAGATTCAATGCAGAAATGCAGAAGGAAAAGGTGAAAGATTTTCCCTCTCCAGTCTCCACACTTGGGCACACTGCTCCAATTTTCTAAGCATCTGCAAATATATACACACTTACATGTATGTGATATAGGTATACATGAACATACTTATAGTAATTTTTACATGAATAGGGTCACAATATACATATTGCTCTGTAACATTTTATTCACTTACATTACTACATTATGGACAGCCTTTAACATAAATATATAGAGATCTACCTAATTCTTTCCTTTAGATAGGTGTTCTATAATCCACCTTCCTGATGCAGGTGCCCTTTACTTATTTACTAGAGGCCCCATGCATGAAATTCATGCACGGATAGGGTCCCTAGCCCTGGCCGGCAACTAGGACCTTCCTGTTGCCAGCCTGGGCCTTCCTTCTGGCTGCAGGCCAGGACCTCCTTTTGTTCTGCCCCATCCCCTGGTGGTCAGCACATGTCATAGTGAGTGATGGGTCTTCCAGTAGAACTCCCATGGGGACAATTTGCATATTAGGCATATATATGTATATATATATATATATATATATATATATATATATATACACACACACACACACACACACACACACACACACATTTTTCAGTTTAACCCAATTTTTTCCTTAAGATAATTTCTATTATAAAGCTACTCTTATTATAAAATTGTTAATATAGAAAATATCCAGGACAAGCCAGAGTTGAAAATATCTAATAATAACTGCCACTATTGAGAAACTTTTATATAAATTTATTTGTAAATATTTGTTTAGCATCTTCTGTAGGATAGAAACTATTCTAGGACTAGGGAGAACAAGATAAGACAAAACAAGGTTCATAACCCTCATGCATCATAAAAGAGCATACAATTTCAGATCATAATAAATTCTATGAAGAAGGTGCTGACTTCTGAGGGGCTCCTCTCTATGGGGTGGTCAGGAGGCCTTTCTGAGAAGACATTTGAATGGCAGTATGCATACACTAGTTCACTTCATCCTCACACCAACCCTGTGATGTATCCTTATCTCATTTTATAGGGAAGGAAATTGGGGTTGAGAGGCTTTAAATAGTTGGATTAAGATCTCTTGGTTGGAACATGGCAAAGTTAGAATTTAGGCTCAGGCTGAACTGACAAAAACATTTAACATTTACATGGTTTGGGTTCTGCACCATGCCAGGCATTTTCTACACCTTCATTAAATTAGTTCTCATACCAACCCTGGGAGCTAGGTATTATTATCCCTATTTCCATACAAAGAAACAAAACCTCAGAGAATTTAATTCACTTAGCCAAGGTCACACTGCTAGCAAGGACTTAAATCCAGGGCTAACTCCAAAATCAGTGCTTTTTCCATTTCACCTGAGATTTTCTTTTCAATCATCTGAGATTTGTCTTGATACTGATGTCAACTTCTTAGAAAGCCTTTTTAACCAGTGACATTCTGGGTGATTGAGGAGTCTTGTCCCTCTCTAATTCTGTAGATTATACTTGCTTCACGGCAGAAAGGAAACCCGGGAACCTTCCCCCACCACTTATTCATCTTCTTCCTTCTTCCCAGGTGCCCCCATCAACCCTGGAGTACCTTGAGAAACAAGGCATTGATGTACGAGTACTCCAGACAGAGAAGGCCGTAAAGGAGTACAATGCCTTGGCTGCCCAAGGTGTCAAGGTCGGAGGGGTCTTCCATTCCACCTGCTGATGAAGCCTTAAAACAAATCACTATCCTGGCCAATATGGCTCAGTTGGTTGGAACATCATCTGTGCACCAGAAGGTTGTGGGTTCAATCCCCAGTTGGGGTGAGTGTAGGAGGCAACTGATTGATAAATATCTCTCGCTAACACTAATATTTCTCTCTCACTCCTCTCTTTCTCTTCCTTCTTCTCTAAAATAAAATTTAAAAATAAATAAATCACTAAGCAATAATGTCTGTGACTACCACTGTTACCACTCTTCACGCCAGCCTCCCCAAGTATTATTCTTAATTTTTTTTTATTCACTTCAAAGAGGAAGGGGAGGGAGAAGGAGAAGAAGAGAGAAACATCATAGATCAGCTGCCTCCTGCATGCTGCACACTGGAAATTGAACCCACAACCTGAGCGTGTGCCTAGGAACCTTCAATCCAAATGCCAGTGTTCTATCCAATGAACTTGTTTTTTATTTTTTAAATATATTTTTACTGATTTCAGAGAGGAAGGGAGAAGGAGAGAGAGAAACATCAATGATAGGAGAGAATCATTGATCTGCTGCCTCCTGCACACCCCCTACTGGGGTTTGAGCCACAACCTGGGAACATGCCCTGACCAGGAATCGAACCATGACCTCCTGGTTCATAGGTCAATGCTTAATCACTGAGCCACGGTGGCTGGGTGTTAAGCATTTTTTAACAGCTGCTCATGCCAGGTCCTGAACGAGGAAGGCTTTGGGATGCATGGATAAGGCAAGGTCCCTGTCCTTAGTAGGGGAGGGAGACAATGAAAGTCAGGAGAAGAGATGGACAGTTATCAAAGTTAAATAAAATGGCATTACGCCAGTTTGAGAAAATAAAGGCAAAAATAAAGGAAAAAGTTTTGAAAGACAAAGAAAAACTTCAATGCATTAAAATCACATTACAGCCGAAACCAGTTTGGCTCAGTGGATAGAGCGGTGGCCTGCTGAAAGTCCTGTTTCAATTCCGGTCAAGGGCATGTACCTTGGTTGTTGGCACATCCCCAGTAGGGGTGTGCAAGAGGCAGCTGATTGATGATTCTCTCTCATCGATGTTTCTAAACAAACAAACAAACAAACAAATCACATTACAATGTTACGCCCAGACTTCGTGATCCCCAAGGACCACCAGGGAGCCAAGTCCGATGCAATAAACAAAAGAGCCTCTTCCATGCTAGCATGGGCTCTGTCCCACTCACGCTGACAGCATGGCAGAAGAGAGAGAGAATTTCACCAAGCCCAGGCGTTATACTCCGGTGGTGATGTCCATGTTTTGGCTGACCCTGATTGGTTGGGTGAGGGCTAGAGTCCAGTTACACAAAATGGAGGATAACTTCACCCTGCCCCACAGTGGAGTCAGGAGTTTATCCTCACTCTGCCCTGCCCTCTCAACAATTGATGCCTTGGAATGTTTAGCCATCAGGTCAACTAGTATTTATCAAGTATCTTTATATGCTGGCACTGCTATAGACTCCTGAAAAACATCATTAAAAGTCTTGTCTTCATGAGGCTTATATTCTAGAGGGGAAAATAAACAAGTAAATGAATAAATGCATAATGTAAGAAGACTCTGTTGAGAAGAAAATAAGGATAAGAATATAAGGCATGATTGTGGCTAGTTCAGATATGTGGTCAAGGGAAGTCTCTGAGCCATTGGCAGAATCTTGAATTAATTCAGAGAGCACTTTAATAACAGAAGCTATGTCCTGATAAAACCAGAGGTCCCAGCTGTCTGTCACTACTTGAGCCAATTAAGCAGAGACAGGTTTGAATCGTATATGAGCATTAATTCCAATAATGCTAACAGTATGGGGGAGAGGAGGTCACTCACAAAAACCTGCTCTCACATAGCAGCTGCTTATATTGGGTAGAACAAAGATCACATGGGGAAGTAGGCAAACGGAATAAGAATGATTATAATGGTTATAGGTTACAGGCAACGCCGGAGGGACTCCATTGTTTGGGCAACAAGGTTGCTAATCTTTCCATCCTAAAATGGGAATGGTCCAGATTCCAAGGTTGACTCCCAAATCCAAGGTTGACTCCCAGGTCCCAGGGGCAAACAACCCCCAGCCCTGTTAGAAAGTGGTTTCTTGCCATAAGAATACTAGAAGCATCCACAGGCAGCAAAATCTCAGACATATGCCAAAAGAACTTCTTCACTGATACTGCCCCTAGGGCAATGGAAGCTAAAGAGAAAATAAACAAATGGGACTACATCAAAATAAAAAGCTTTTTTACAGCAAAAGAAACCATCAACAAAACAACAAGAAAGCCCATGGTGTGGGAGAACATATTTGCAAATAATACCACTGATAAAGGTTTAATCTCCAACATCTACAGACAGCTTATACAACTAAATAAAAGGAAGATGAATGATCCAATTAAGAAATGGGCAATGCGCCGAAGCCGGTTTGGCTCAGTGGTAGAGCGTAGGTCTGCGGACTGAAAGATCCCAGGTTCGATTCCGGTCAGGGGCTTGTACGTTCGCTGCGGGCACATCCCCGGTAGGGGGTGTGCAAGAGGCAGCTGGTCGATGTTTCTCTCTCATCGACGTTTCTAGCTCTATCTCTCTCCCTTCCTCTCTGTAAAAAATCAATAAAATATATTTAAAAAAAAAAAAAAAGAAAGAAAAGAAATGGGCAATGGACCTAAATAGAATCTTTCCAAAAAAAGACAGAAGGAAGGCCAAGAGGCACATGAAAACATGCTCAAAGTCACTAATTATCCGAGAGATGCAAATCAAAACAACAATGCAGTACCATCTCACACCTGTCAGAATGGCCAAATCAACAAATCAACAAACGACAAGTGTTGGCGAGGTTGTGGAGAAAAAGGAACCCGTGCACTGCTGGTGGGAATGCAGACTGGTGCAACCACTGTAGAGAACAGTGTGGAATTTCCTCAAAAAACTGAAAATGGAACTCCCATTTGACACAGTAATCCCACTCCTAGGAATATATCCCAAGAAACTAGAAACACCAATCAGAAAGGATATTTGCACCCCTATGTTCATAGCAGCACAATCTACAATAGTCAGAATTTGGAAACAGCCTAGGTGCCCATCAGCAGATGATTGGATCAAAAAATCTTGGTACATCTACACAATGGAATACTATGCTGCCGTAAAAAAGAAAGAATTCTCATCATTTGCAGCAACCTGGATGGAGTTGGAGAGCATCATGCTGAGTGAAATAAGCCAATCAATGAAAGAAAAACACCACATAACCTCACTCATTTATGGATAATAAAGAACATTATATACGATGAACCAAAAAATAGATATAGAGACAGTAAAGCAACAAGCAGACTGTCAAATTACAGTGGGGAGGGGAGGGAGATCTAGGGGAGATAATAGATCAACCGAAGGACTTGTATACATGCATATAAGTACAACCAATGGACTTAAAACTCTGAGGAGAGAGGGTATGTATGAGAGGGAGGGAGGGGGGCAAAAAAAATCAAAAAATAAATAAAGTTTAAAAAAAAATAGAAAGTGGTTTCTTGAATCAGAACAAAACAATCATGGTTAAGAGACCATGATTAATATTCCTTACTAGAGGACCGGTAGGTCCCTCGGCCTGGCCAGTGGTCAGGCAGAAACTGACTCTCCAACATCCCCCCCAGGGGTTCCAGATTGCCAGAGGGTGCAATCCTGGGTTCAGCAACCTCAGTACATGGGTTCTGGCTAGGAAGGAATTCAGAGCAAGACTCAAACTGTAAAAGAACATTTATTTGGCAAATTAGAGAGGTAGAAGAAGTAATTCCTAGAATGAATGGGATTAGGAAGCAAGTTAAGGGAGTAAATTATGGTTATGTGCCTAGGGCAGGGAAGGAAAAGGGGAAGGGAAGGGAAAGGGGAAGTCTACCAGGTCCTCCCTCCTAAGGATTTTAAAGGCGGGGATTTTAGGGGAGGTGCCAGGAAAAGATTTTTTTTAATATATTGATTTTTTTACAGAGAGGAAGGGAGAGGGACAGAGAGTTAGAAACATCGATGAGAGAGAAATATCGATCAGCTGCCTCCGGCACACCTTCGACTGGGGATGTGCCTGCAACCAAGATACATGCCCTTGACCGGAATCGAACCGGAGACCCTTCAGTCCGCAGGCCAATGCTCTATCCACTGAGCCAAACCGGTTTTGGCAAGGAAGAGATCTTAACAGAATATTCAAGGTTGTGGTCTCCACTCATAGGCCAGCACCAGGGCAGGGGATCATTATTCCAGGCAGCCGATCCTGACAGGAGCTGTGGGTGGTTTGGTTGCTTATCTGGGCCTGGAGCTGAAATATAACTGAAGCCTAGATGTTATCTCTAGGGAAGAAAGGTAAGGGAGTCCAAGGCTCAGGACCAGCGATATGCTAGGGGCGGAAAGGTTACCTTGGGGTGAGGCTTTCCACCCTGCTGACCTGTACCTGGCTCTTCGTCCTTGCTCTGCTCACACCTAACTGCCTACCACTGTTCTAACTAAACCTAAGGCTCTTCAGACAGTTCCCCCTGGGTCTCCTTCTCCCTCAGTATGAAATGATGGGGCTGGACTAGGTGACCTTTATAAAGCTTTAGAATGGACAGATAGGACTAGAATGTTATGAGCATCACCTTATTTTTCATCTGTCCATCTCCCTCTCCCCCGCCCCCAAAATGGTTACAAGTGAGAGATTTGGTGTCAAATACATTTGACATTGAACTGTGACTTTCTGTCATTCAGTGGTTGGGCACTTACTCAATCCTTAGAATTAGACTCTTCTCATCTGTTAGACAGGGGTAATATTAGTACCTGGAGTTATTGTATTAAATGGATAATTCTTAGAAAGTCTTAGCACACTGCCTGGCATGTGGTAAGGACTCAATAAATTGAAGCCATTATTGTCATTATCTTTCTATTAATGGGGCTACTGTGTAAAGCCAGTTCATTTCATTTTATGGAGCCCAAAGGAGCTATCTAATCTCCCCCATTTATTCAGTAATTCTCTTTTATGCCCATTTACTAAAAGTCT